GGCAAAGGCGGCAATCCTATAATAGTAGGCAAAGGAGGCAAAGGAGGCAATAATGGCAGTGGAAGATTTGGGATGGATGACAAAGGCGGCAATCCTCTTGGTATGGGCAAAGGAGGCAATGATGAAGGTTGTGGAAGAGTTGGGATGGATGGCAAAGGTGGCAATAATGAAGGCTGTGGAAGAGTTGGGATGGATGGCAAAGGTGGCAACCTTGTTATTGTAGGCACTATGGGCAGTGAAGGCAAAGTTGATAATTGCTGAAGACGACGAGCTGCTAGGCTGATATTGATGCTTGAAAATGACAAAGCCATTAGGAAAGCAATGATGAGGCAATTCAAAGAAGCCATTATGTTTATTCGAATCAAGAAATTCTCTTATGGTTTGTTTGAAGAAATGGGATGGTGGTGGAGAGGTTTTTATAGCAAGAGCAAGCGGACTTTGCTTTTGTTGGGAAAAGTCAAGGTTCCATTTAATATAGTTGTGAAAGAAAAAAATAAAGTAAAGGGCTTCCTTTCCCTCCTTTCTCCTCCAATTCTTTTAATAATTAAATAAAAAAATTTTCTCCTCTCCCCTCCCTTCCCTTCCCTTCCCTTCCCTTCCCTTCCATTTCCTCAACCCAAACAAGTTATAAAATTGAAAATAAAAAAAATATAAACTTGATTAATAGATTAAAATTATTTTTGTTCTTATTTCTCTAATAATTATTGGATAATTATTCATGCACCCACCGGTTTGACACCTTGTGGGTGCACACTCCTTAAATGAATAATTATAAAAATAAAATTATAAATTTACCCTTAAAGCCATTTTTTTCCCACAATACCCCTTTTTCTTCTTGTCTCTCCATCTTCCTCTTCAATCGTTCAACACCAATTTCTCAACTTTCTTCCCCCTCCCTCTCTTCTTCCCTCTCTTTCTACCTATTGAAGCAAACAAGTTCTGTAACACTTGGGTTTGTGAAAAACCCAACACCAAATAAGAGGAATAGCAAGCCACAAACCAACAAAGAAAATGGAAAAAAAAAAAAAAAACAGATTATCAGAAATGAGCTACTGTTTTGAGTACAAGATCAAAACCTACAAAACTCCAAATGAAAACCGACCGTTCAAAATGTAGATCAATGTCTCTTGAACACTCAGACAAAATTTCAACCTAATCCAATGGTGAAATTTTACAAATTGGAAAAAATAGCAAAGCTGCGTGCAGTATCAAAATTGTAGAAATTTCCCTTGTTTTCTTTTCTCTTTTTTGCCGATTGACTCCACTTACATGCACTCCACTTTTTGCTCTATCAACCCAAAAATAGACTTGTTTTATGTGTCTAATGGGCTACAAAATCATGAGCTAAATTAAGCATGATTTTATGAGAAAATGAACTTTTTCTCAAAATTTGGTGTTGTTGTCATTTCAAAAATTAATTTCCACTGATTCGGTGTTGCTATCATTTAGGAAACTTACTCAAGATTCTAATTTGATGCTTGAATGCTTGATTAAGTTTTGTTGGGATTCAAATGATTTGATCTTGTTGTCATTTGGGAAATGGGTTTTGTAAGAAAGATGGTTTAAGGGTAAATTTGTAATTTTACTTCTACAATTATTTGGTTTGTGGAGTGTGCACCTGGGGTGTCGAACCGGTGGGTGCATGAATTATTATCCATAATTATTATATGTGTGCAAAAGCATGTGAAAGTAAACAAATGTTTTTGTTTAAAGTTATAAAATTTATAAAAATGAAAATAAAAAATAAAAAATTACAAATATACTAAGGGAATTTTTATCTTGTGCTTTTTAGACATAGGTTAAGAGTATATTTATTATACTCTTTTCTTATTGATTGTTATGGAAAAAATAAAAATTGACTTTAATTTTATTAACTGCTTAATAAAAATTATACATATATAATTATCGATGTTGAAAATAAAATTAAGTTTTATATTTTTCTATGCAAATTAATGATAAAATGCTATAATTAAGTAATATATTTTTAACTTGTGCCTTTAAAGCACAAGTTTAACAAACCTATACTAAACAAAACCTAAGATTTTAACACTTTAGCACGTCTTGTAAATGTTGTATTTCAGAAGTCAGCATGTACTAATTGAGTTTGGCGCGCCCGCCCCTAAAGGTTAGTGGTATTAACTTAAGTTTCTGTTACTTGGTCGGTTATCTAGCCCTTGTTTGTCGTGTTAGGTACGTGTTGCGGACTCGGATGAAGCCCTAATTGGCCATTATCTTTGTGCCATAACAACAACCATAGAAATTGAAAATTCAAAACCTTGCATCTTAATTAGGTCGCTTGCTTGTTTTCCCTCGTCTTAATTTCTTTTTGAAGAAAAACATAGCTGATCTACTCTATCATAATTTGTTTCTTAATTTATTGCTTAGCAATTGTAGTGATTTATACTTTGATCTTCATTCTAAATTAAAGTTAGTTAATTAGATTGTTAATTGCGGGTATATAATTGGTGAAGAACATATATATATGTTCAACTTTAATTAATTATGGACTTTAATTTTAATTTATTGGATTAGTACCAGAAATGTTGAATCATAAAATCACATAAAAATAATAATAAAAAATTTAAAAATTGATAAAAAGAATCGAATTCTAAAGTTTAATAGTAAAAGATCTACTTTAGAAACATATTTAGAGTTTTAACTAACCTCTAGCAGCTAACAGCTAAGAATAACATTTAGAAAAAGCAAAATGGGAAAGGGTAAAATGGGAAAATTAGCATTGTCTGGAGGTGGTATTAGTATTACTGTCAAACCCTCAATTATTAATTCTACATATATTTATTTAAACTAATCATTATATCCCTTAATTTATTTAAAAATTAGTTTACATTTTCATTTACATTAAAATTAATCTTTTTGTTAGATTTTGTTATCATTCTTTAAATCCAGGCTCCATGCAATAGCATACGCACAATGACATAGCCAGAATTTGTAGGTAGAGGGCCACAAGCCACAAACATATATCAACACAAAAATATAAAAATAACAATGCAAGAATATGGTTGGAAAAAGAGATGAAATTACATTTTATCCTTTTAAACTAAGTTAATTGAATCCAATATCTAGAACTCAATATGCAAAATCATTCAAATCCAAAAAAATTAAAAAGAAAAATCAAATAAGACAATAATCACAAAAATTTAAAAACAAATGAACAAGAAAATCTATTCTTATGGCTACTTTGCAGCTCTAGTTAAAGGTAATAGCTAATATGTTATTTTATGATCTTATTGGCTTGTGCTTATTTAGTCTTGTGTAGTTGTACTTTTGATGCATTCGTAAAATAAATAATATAGTAAAATCTAAAACTTAAAAAATATAAACTTAATAATTCAAAAATGTAAAATCTAAATTTTTTTAGTAATAGTACAAGAATTAAAACAATAAGATCAACAAAGAAAAATAATTTAGAGATAACTTTTTTATGCACTCTTTTATATAACTTTTTTATATAGTTTTATGTGTTATTTAAATAATTAATTTTATTTATTTATTTGAAACTGTGATATTAAGTGTATTCATTAATTTAATGACACGTAAGAAGTTGTATAAAAAGATTGTCTCTATACAACTTCACTTACCACAAAACAATAGTTACAAATTACAATATAATAGAATTAAAAAATATATAATAATAGAGTAATTTTTTTTATTTTTCAAAGATATTAAAGCATTATCTAAAAACTGCAATTTACATAGAAATTTTGAAAATCCCATTGAAAAGAGACTCTTGTCTAAAACAAAAAAATATTTAAGTTGATTGTATTATTGTCTATTAGGTAATTTAGAATTTAAAAAACCTAATGCTAGTTAAAAATTAATTTCGATGAAAGAAGGAAAATAAGTAATTAAATGGAGTTAATTCCCAAAAGAAAATTAAGTATAATGGCGACGCCTACAACTTTATTTCTCTTTTGAAATTTAAAGTATTTGACTAAATACATTTTTTTTTTAATTTTTAAGATGGATAAATATGTATACTGAATATATTTAACTTTGAAATTTTAACATAAATTTTTTTTCAATATGTTAGGGTCCGCCACTGCGTACGCATGTGATAGTTAATTAAATTGCAAATTAATCAGTTGTACATGTTTGTATTAAGATTTAGTACTTATTCCATTGATTTTTCTGTTTCTTCTATTGACGAAGGAATTTGATTA